ATATAACATTTTTCTTCTCAGTTTAACCCAATCTACTATAATCTTTGGGATTGTCCATATCGAATCTGACACCCTGTATATGTATAATGTTATACATATAATGAATTTTATAATGAAAAATAAGAGATTAAAATAGATATAATTAAATTTCGAGAGAAAATAGAAGATGGAAGAATTGAACTAAATGATCATGGAGCGATGTTGATATTAATTTAAACATTCAACTCTGAGCGATGTAATAGAAATCTGCTACAAAATAATTCGCCGAGTGTTTGCACAACGCTCTCAAAAAGAATAATAATACTTTCAAGATAAATGTAAGACAAAACGAAGAGAAATTGTATTTTTAAAAGCATTAGTTAATTTTGCAAAAATTAAAAAAATTTGCCACTTTATCAAGTAAAAATTTTTTTATATAATTTCTGGATCTGTTAATTTATTATTACTAATTGTAAGTGCAAAAATAGATAAATTACTAGCAAATACATAGCATTAGATGTGGGAAATTCTTGATTGATGATAATCAAGTATTTCACTATAGAACACTACATAGCAAATTTTTTGCTTCAACTTCGATTCCTTCGTTATTGATTCGAGGTGATCAAAGGCTATGAATAAGTAAAAATGAATATCGATTACTGACGAATAGTAAATAGTGTGTTATATAAAGCAAATCCAATTAGTCTGTCAGCACAAAAATAACCATTCAGATTTTCGCGTTTATGTACAATTTATAGTCTTATACATGTAAGGTTCAATGAGCGTATCAATGAGTTTAATGCGTCATGAATCGTTGAGTGAAGTGTTTGATGCTATTATATGTGTTAAACAATTCAGTATCCTGTATAAAATATATGTAATATAATACAATGTTACTAGAAGAAATCAATTTCTAGCATGCTTCAAGTTATGTTCTATGGCATGGGAGCTTGATAGAAGGATGTATGATATAAATATACTTTATGTAACACATCTGAATAAATTCAAGAAGAAACAAGCACAATAATGAATAATGAATAGCTAAGGATCAAAGATAACCACACAAATGGAAACATTGTACAGTATGTATATTAAATATGATCTATACATATACGACAGAAATGTCTTTTTTTTGCAATTTAATTTTTAATTTAATTTTCTTCATACATCAAAACATAAGACTAAGCAATTAGCTGCAAGTATTGCAAGATATGGATTAATGTCAATTATACTCAACTTATAGGGTAAAGGCGGGCAATATGGCCACGATGTCCGTATTAAATATTCTAAACATTGATAAACATCGATAATGTATAAAAATCAATTATTGTAGCTATTCTTGAAGTTTGGTAACAAATACCTCTCTATTTTGTTGTTATTTGTGGTTTGGTGCTTCATTGTTCTCCATAACCATCAAAATATACACGTCAAAGTCAGACATGGCACTTCCAACTAACAATAAGTAAGATTTTCAAATTAAAACAAAATAATTTTGGCTTTTCTCATTACACATTTCGAAACCTGAACCTTGGCTATATTTTGATAATAAATTTATCGTGCTTTGCCCATTATTTTGATAATTATAATGCATATTATTAAATGTATGCTCGGCGGCTAATATGGCCAGCGACAAAGGTAGCTAATATGGCCAGCGAGTGCAACGAGAGAGCAGCGAGTACAACAGAGTGTAGAGTAGGCCAGTGCTGAGAGTGATAACAGCGAAGAAAGAAAATAGTTATTATTAATAAATTGTGAGAGCACGGCGTTACGTAGAGAAAGTGGACATACACATACACATTTCTTAAATGTGTACTCGTATGTTTAAAATATTTCTAAGTTTATGTTCTGTACGATTAAAGTAATACTTTACGATTAAAGTAAATACCTCACTTTTGCAAAATATTACTGTTTTGTACACTTTTCTTATAGTTGGCCATATTACCCACCCCACGTTTAATATGGCCAAAACGCATACTTTCAGATTCTTTTTTTTTCTTCGAATATGGATAGATTTTAATTGATCAAGACATTTTGTCGTCAAAGCTTATTAAATACACTAGAATTTCAGAAAGTTACGAAATAAAAAAACCAGCGGTTTGAAAATTATGACCTCAAATAAAAACTATGACCATAATGCCCGCCTTTACCCTAATTACTGAACGTGGCAATAACATCGTAACGTGAGTATACTTGAGAACTATAATAAATAAAATGTTTCATTATCTTGTACTAATCATGTACTAGATTAGTTTATAAATTTCTTCTATTAAAACAATCATATAGACACAATATTAATTTATTTAACGTTTCTTTCGAATATAAACTTTCCTCCCACGCGTACAATATTTAATTAAGTATATATATTATCTTAAGTATACTAACTTAAAGTTACTAATATTTTAATGTACATTTTTTTAGTTTTTTATGTATGTATACACATTTACGTTGTTAATGAATAATAAAGTTACTAATTAGATAAATAAGAGATATGCATTATTCTGAGATGTATTTAGCATATGTATATGTGTAGAATCTTATTTTATATATTTTATAGATAAGATATAAATATAAATATACATAATAAAGAATACATCCTCATAGTTTCACGTTCTACATATTTGTATCTTTTCTAATAATTTTGAAACTATTAGGTATCATCATAAAACCTTTTTAAACATCATGTTTAAAATAACACGTAAAGCATTTAAAATTTAAGTTTAAAATAAATTTTTTTCAGAATTTTCGAATTCTTGAAATGAATGACGAGATAAACGAAATAATTGTGACAATGTTAATAAACTTAGGCAATTTATGGTTTATCGGGGAAAAGCTCTTCGAACGTAAAGTGTTTAACTATATCGTTGGAAAGGGTGAGAATCCGTTTGACAACTGCTTCTTCAATTGCCGGCTTAAGGGTCTTAATAACCTCTTCTTGATTATTGCCTATGAAATTACTAATAATTTGGTTCAGTCGGTTTAATTCTTCAGAATTTATTCCGTAGTCAACGTCGTATCCTTTAATGTCGAGATTTAACTTTATCTTTGACATATACACGTATCTTTTGCTATCTTTCGTTACCACATTCATGTCCAAGTTTGCCTTTGCGTTTATATTATCTGTAAAATATTCAGATTAATAATTATGATGAAAAAGTATAGAGTTTTGAATTTTTATGTTAAAACAGATATAATTTTTGATGTTAAGTTTTATTTTATTACTATATCGATTTCGTACCTGAAGTGATATAAACTGGTCCCTTTTGAACGATGGGTATCAGTAAGCGTATGTCAAAATCATATGTACCATTCAATTGGATCCGCTTAAAAAAGATTTCAGCATCGAAGTGGAGATTGTCGAGATCTAGTTTAAAATACTTTACTTCAAAGTCACAAAGTCCCATCGCTTTTACATCTCTGAGATTTATTTTGGAATTAGAACTATCGGAAATGACTATGTCGTCAAGAATGACTGGATTGTTTGACGGAATGTCCAATTCCGGAATTCCTTCGCAGATCTTATCTTTCAAATTTTCGACGTTATCCAAGATGCATTGATCAAGGTTTGGATCTCTTCTGCCGCACACGTGAATAAAGGAGGCTGTAAAGGACATAACTCACTTTTATTGAATTATAATTTTAAGTAAAATTGTTCACAGGGGAAATAAACGTAAATGAAGAAATGATAAAATATAATCGAAAAGAATGTGCAATTTTTACGACACAGTAAGTTTGTGATTTACTATGTTATTTTAGTATCAAACAATGTTAATATTAAATCTTGAAAGATATAATATTATGTAACACTTTCAATAAAATCACAGCACACGTGAATTTTAATAATCCATACATTGTTATTTAATAACGCAATTATTAATAATAAAAAATAAATTAAATTCCTAAGTATCACATTAGAATTTTTCTTTAATATTTTTGTTGTGCAGTGCTTTAAAGTATATTCTACACTTTTGAGAATATACAAACTCGAATCTGTTACAAGTAACTGCACGGCTAGTCAAGTCTACGAAATGCGAATGTTGGGGCGTTATAGAAATTCTTTATAAAACGTTCTCTTTTAGATATATATAGGCCACATCATAAAATGCGCGAGTCCGACAAGAAATTCTTAGCGAAGTTAATATTGGCTGCACCTGTTACTTTAATTAAGTGACTCGAAGACTGGAACACGGCTTCTTTTCGCAAGCATTTTTCCTACTACGCATTTTTTCACGTTACTGCTATCTAATACACGTTCACGACCTAACGAATGCCAGGCATGCAGCTGGTATTTGCAATGCAGTCGCAAACATTATTGCATTGTACCATATAATTAATATTATCGCCATATAATTAATATAATAATTAATATAATGTTTGTAATAACAAATTGCATTGCAACTTGTGCAATTCTTTTATACATAATAAAGAAAGAATTTATGATCAAAAATGAATATACACATATGCACATTATAAAAACATGTATCGAAATACACACAAATAAGTAAGTAAATAAATAAATATATTTTTTTTACTTACGTACTTCTGCTGAAACATAGCCCACTACTGTAAGCGCAAAAGCAAAAACTATAGCAAACATTTTTTAACGAAACTTTTCTTACATTACACTTTCAAAACTGAACACTGCGGAGCGATCCGAACAGCTATACAGCAAGTAAGTATCAAGACTAATTCGCGTAAATCGAGGAATCGCGCTTTTATATATTCTCATCCTTGTTTGCATAACGTTTCTTGCCGATCTCTCTCTCTCTCTCTCTCGCTCGGTATCGGTGATTTACTTTAAACCTATAACCTACAACCACACTTGTGTTTACAAAATAAAATTTATTTATTATTATTGTTAATGAGAGGTAGAAAAAAGGAGAATATTTTTTATACAGTATATAAATTTAAAAATAAAACTGAAATAACTGTTATATATTTTATACATTAAATTAATTTTGTAAAAACGCTTGTTTGTAAAAAGAATACATGACTCGAAAAGTATCGTAATTTCAGTACAACATTAAACAGAATTGCAAAAGTAAAATTAATAAAAGAATTGTTTCTGTATAATTTTCTTATAAGTTTAACTTAATTGTATAATTTCTGTTGATTTTTATGTATTGATAAGAGGTGACAGATAATAAAATATTATCCTTTAAGACGTCTTAAAGATGTCTTTTAGACATGCGTACTATATGGGTATGCATTTAACTGTTCATCTTTTTCTTCTTAAACCGACGTAGGAATTTCTTTTTAATATTGAGACAACTTCGACAGGTAAATGTCCTTGAAAAGTATATTTATCCACATATATTATCCAATATAATCAATATACAGAGCAAAACTTGTACGATGCGTATGTGGTGTAATTATATAACAAAGAGAATAACTTCATTTTGACAGTTTTTTCGTAACATTGATTACTTAAAGAAAATTTAAATAATGTATTCTAAACCTTTTACATTGATATAATTAAAGGTACATACATTTATTTAAACGTATATAGTAAATACACGTTAGTTTAGATTTATCGCATAAAGTTAGAATAAATAAGGTTTTATATAAAAAATATCTTGTCTGCAATTTTCATTGAAGTATAAATTAACTTTTATACAAAAT